TTTTCACATATGTGAAACTAGTTGATTTTCTGAGTTCATTAACCATAATTTTATGGTATAAATTTTATTTTCTTTAATAATATTAATTATCAAATGTAAAAGGTTCACGATGAGATTTCGTAACCTCAAATTTTTCAATTTTTTAAAAACATTATTATTAAAAATTTGCTAAGTATTAAATATTGAAACTTACCAAAAATATAAGTCAATCTATTCTACATATTTAGATGACGGAATTTTTATAAAATTCCATTACTTTTAGATAATAAATAATTTTAAAAATATTTTTTCTAAAAAAATTTCGAATTTTTTGTTTACTTGTAATTTTTTTGTGGGACCTCCAAAAAATTTTCGGTTTTACGAACATGTTCTTAATAATATAATTTATTTTATTATTATATTATTAATTATTTATTAAAATAGGTTAATTCTAGTAATTAAAGTTAATTGACCAATTTCACATCGTTTTATTTTCATATAAAATTATATAAAAATGGAACGACAAGTTCTAGAATTAACCTATTTTAATGCAAATTTTTAGAAATTAATATCTCGAAAACGAAGCAACACACCTTCGTAAAATTTCAATAGAAGATAAATTATATTATTCAGAACATGCCCGTAAAACCCCAATTTTTTTGGAGCTCCCGCAAAAAAGTTTAATTTAATACTTAGCAGATTTTTAATAATAACGTTTTTAAAAAATTGAAAAATTTAAGGTTACAAAATCTCATCGTCAACCTCTTACATTTAATAATTGATATTATTAAAGAAAATTTGGTTAATGAACTCAGAAAATCATCGAGTTTCACATATATTAAAATTAGAATTTTTGATAATTTGGTCGCAACGACTTTCAGACGAAAGTCAATGGACTGACCCATTTATATTTGAATTTTTGTATTTTCATGTCAATTATTATTTGTATTTGAATTGTTTGTATGTTTTATATTGTTTATAAAGAATATATTATATCATCCACTACATTTTTATGGCATAAATTATTATTTAATCTGTATAACTTCATTTCTTTCATATTTTTTATAAGAAACAAAAATTACTTTTTAATTTTAAAAAGTTTAAAAAATTCAGTTTTAATAATGAAATAAACAATATTTACATCCATAATCGATTTTAAATTGACTTTTTTGTACGGTTTAAAATTTCATTTATTTTACTTTAAAATTAAGTTTAAATAATTGTTTCTTTTATGAGAGGTATTTTTATTGAGATTTTTTGGAAACTTGATTTCTACAAAATCATTAAGATTTTCTTTTAAAAATGAAAAAGCAAAATTATTAAGATTATTAATTATTATGCGTACTTATACTAGAATTCCTGTCTTTTTTTAAGTTTTTTGATGTAACTGAAAAAGTATTTTTAAATACTTTTATCATTACCAGGTATACTATTTTTCTTTATTCCCACCCGAAAGTACGGTTAATAATTAGTCTTAATTAACAAAAAAGCATGAATATCTGTCAATTTGCGTTTACCCATGTGTTTATTTTTGTGGCTTGCGTCGTTAACGCAACCAGTCGGCCACCTCGCGAAGGGTGTTGCGCAATGTGTTTGGTTTCTGCCAGCTGACCGGTACAGTAGGTCGCCCGCTTGACTTTTGCAAAGCCGAGGCGAAGCCGAGGTTTTTGCTGGTCGGGGCGGGCATGAAAAGCATATTATATGGGGAAATTTATATGAAAAAAAAGTTTTTAATAAGGAATCATGTAAAAAAGTAAAAATTCAGAAATTTATACGAATTTATTCGTAGAATTAAAACTAACATATTTTAAGATTAATATCAAATAAATTATTTACATGTATTCTTGTTTTACTTGTTTTTGCAATTGCATGAAGTGACGTTAAAGAGGCAGTTGTTACAAGTGCTGAATTTTGGTTGCTGAACTTTTGCTTCGTTTTGAAAACGTACTTTTATTCCTGGTTTAGCAAAAAACTGTTTACTGTTGCCAGTAACTTGTTGGTTTTGATTATTAGCTGGTAAGAATAAAGGTTTATTGCTTGCTGTGGTAAAACCACTTTCCACACCTCCACCTGAATAAAATCTTTCGTGAATAAAAATTGAACATAAGTTTATTTCTGTAATAAAATAAGCATTTATTTACTTACTTGGAATTGGTTCAAGGTCGTCAGATTTATCATTCCCGTGTTTAGTGATTATCTGCGCATTAGTCAATGGCTTTAAACGCTTTTGTGTGCGACTTTGATTATTTAAATTTTCGTTACTTTCTCTTTTTCTACTGCCAGATGGCTCAACAGTCGTTTGATTTTCGAAATTTAATATAATTCCTGGTTTTTCAGAAAATGATTTACTACTGGCAATGTTTAATTGATTTCGATTTGTAACTAGCACAAGTAGTTTCGTTTTCCTTGCTGTCAAAGAAGCATTGTTTACAAGTCCATCTGAAAAATGTCAGTTATAAGTGAAAAGTGGTATTTTTTCGTATTTTTCGTAACAATGATATTTTGGTCACAAATTTCAAAAAGTATTTTCGTATATTATTAATTAAACTAGTGATAATTCGTATTTTTGTAGTAAAATACTATTTTTTGTCCTTACTTGGAATTGGGTCGTCCGAGATGAAATCATCAGAAAAATCTGACCAATTAAGATTGTAATCAGATTCATTTTTTTCGACGTTTTCCTGCGCGCTACTTGATGGTTCCGGATGAGAATTTTTCGTACTAGCTTTTTGAACGATCCCATCAAAGATCAGCTGCCTATTGTGCATTGAATTTTCAATGTAGCCCTGAGCAATTATATCAGATCGCCATCTCCCCAGCTGCTTAACCTTTTGCATGTTAGCACCGGAATCAGAGAGAAGCGTCGCTGATGTTCGTCTGAAGCAGTGTCTAGTGAATTTTTCTGCATTTGGCAGTTGTAAAAAGGAATCAATTTTTTGAGGCACTTCACCTATTTTGTGCCTTCCAATTACTTGTCGCTGACATTTACCTTCTTGGTACCGTAAGAAAAATTTTTCGCTGAATTGTCCGGAAGGTCTCAATGAAATGTAATTGCTTACTTTAGTGTAAAAAAGATTTCCGATTATAAACTGCCCTGAGTATTCATTTTTATTAAAATTTATTGACACTAAATATTTGTCTCCCAAATTTTCAACATCTTCCATCTTTAAGTTTGATAATTCGTCACACCGCATACAACCACAGATGCCGAATATAAGTATGACCTGTAAAATTAAATCCAAAGCAATTGAACCGAGATTATGAAAATGTAATATTATTTGGAAAGCGAATAAATAAACAATTAATAATAAATTATTATTAATAATAATAATAATAATAATAATAAATTAATTAATAATAAACAATACCTTCATGGCTAAATAAACAATATCCGGAGCTTCATTAAGAATCTCATGATTTGGTCCCATTTAAGTACCAGCGATTTCTTTGGTTTATAACCTATGGAGTTCGTTTTGATTAAAGCTGTCAGGTTTAAAAAATTATTGATGTTAATGCCATCTTTCACACTCAACGTCATTCGCAGCATGCTCCAAACACTCTAAAGCGTTGTTGGTTTCAGTTTTGTTTTCAGTTGCTCGAAATAAACAATTAAATTTTTTTCTTCCGAGTTGGACAGTGAATTTTTATTCTGCTCTCGCCATTTCTTGTACATGGTGTATACTAGCAGGTACCGACCGGAAGACTTTTTTGGGAGCGTTCTACTTTGGACAATAATATCTGCCTCTTAGTCAAAATTTTTCAACATCTCTGCCTCGTCCGAGGAACCTTCAGACGAAGAGTTTTCCATTTTTCACGTCTTTTATACACTAAACGTTGATTGAATTTTGAGGTTATGATTAGTTCACGTCACACGGTCACAACACAGGCCCTAAAATAAGCGTTGCTATGTGGTTGCTATGCTCACGAGACACGAAAATCTTGTAGCCAATCAGAGCGCGTGTTAGTTCGAGCCGGCCACAAAAGTCGCTGTTCCCAGAGCGATTACCGACCGGGAAGTCCGTACTTTCGGATAGGGGATACAGAAAAATTATTTTAAGAATTAAAAAATTTTGAATTTTCGATTTTTGTAAAAAAAGTTACATATATCTTCCGTTTAAGTGAATATTTTTTTTATCTAGTGAGGATAAGATTTTCAGTTAAGGTATTACCTAAAAAACTGCAAAGTTTATCTTCAATGAGTGAAACCGTTTACGAGTTATGAGAAATTAATTAATCATTTATTCTTACTTTCTTTTCGCTGTTCAATCGGGTGATTTTTTGGAGTATTTAGATTTTGCCAATTTCGACGTCGATTTCGATCGAATTTCGCTGTAAAAATTATTAATAATTAATAAATAATAAGAATGATAATATAATATTAATAATATTATTATCAATATTAATAATAACAATAACAATACAGTGAAATAGAAATGTAATATATGTATTGATGAATTTACCATTATTCAATGCATCACTTTCATTTTGAACGTCTTTCTTAGCTCCTGAATTTTTGTTATAAAAATATCTCGTGCCCATCCAACGCTGTTTTTGTTTCATTGTTGCACCTAAAATTTTGAACATTCTTAACTTAAAAAATGTAGCCACCAAAAACAAAATAAAGAAAATACGTAAAAATTCATATTAATATTTGTAATTATCTCTCATTAATACTAAAACAAAAATCAACATTGATTTTTTTATTTTGCGAAATTTAATTAAAAATAGGAGATTGTTCCTATTTACAAAATTGTTTCTACTAAACTACAACACTATTTTCAGCATTATGTACATGCTAACACCGATTACGTCGTCAAGTCACTTTTCGACGGCATTGAAGAAGATTATACAGGAACGAAGGCAGCCATTCACCGGGAAATTCAAATTCTCCGTAAGAAAAATGAATTACCTCTTCCACCTCCTCCACCTAAACAGGAAAGTCAAGGTAATATCTCTTCTGCTCATACTTACAAGCATCTTCCCGCATTAACATTACCTAAGTTTTCAGGGAATCAATTAGAATGGGAGACCTTGCTGATGCAATAGATTGTGTCCTTGGAATTGACCTGCTTGGTCATATCTTATTGCCCGGACTCAAACAAGGTCCGCTCAATAGTCCTACTGCCCTACTTACTACTCTTGGTTGGATCATTTTTGGTGTATCGTCATCAACTGATTCTGAGAATTCTTTTTCTGTCCACCATGTTGAAGAGAAAGACACTCTTCATCATCAACTCCGCCTTTTCTGGGAAATAGAGGAATTACCCACGAAAACCTTCCTATCCAAGGAAGACATTGAATGCGAGAATCATTTCCGAGACACTCATTACAGAGACACTAGTGGTCAATATGTAGTTCGACTACCCCTTCTTCAACCTCCTGATCTATTAGGACGATCTAAAGAATCTGTAATTTCAATGTTCAAGAGAAATGAATCTCAACTCCAGAAAGATCCAATTGCCAAGGCCAAATACAACTCTTTCATAGAAGAATACCTCTCACTAGATCACATGGAACCGGTTTCCGAGGAAGATCGGGCATATCCAAAGTCAAACTATCTTCCACATCATGTGATCTCTAAAGCACACGATCCTACAGCCAAAATCAGAGTTGTGTTCAATAGTTCTTTCCGAACTTCCTCCGGTGTGTCATTTAACGAAATCCTGCACCCTGGGTAGAAACTGCAACCAGACATCTGGCTTATCATCAGCCGGTGGAGATTCTGGAAGTACGTTTTTACTGCAGACATTGTTAAAATGTTTAGGCAGATCAAGATCGAATCACCTGATTGTAACCGCCAACGCATCGTATGGAGAGCTGAACCCGGGAAGCCCTTACAGGAGTATAATTTAACCACTGTCCCTTATGACACTAGGCCTGCTCCATTCCTCGCGATCAAAATCCTTAAACAACTAGCCTCTGATGAGAGAAATCGGTTTCCACTTGGTGCGCAGGCGTTAGATGAGAACACCTATGTGGATGACATTTATCCTGGGGTAAACTCAATAGAACGTGCTATTGAGATCCGAGACGATCTTATCAACATCCTTGCATCATCGTGTATTACTCTCAGTAAATGGGCAGCGAATAATAGCGTACTGCTACCTGACGATGTTCCTGATAAAACTAAAAATGAGAAGGTTTTTGATCCTGAGAATTCCGTGTCCACATTAGGCTTACGTTGGAATCAAAGTTCAGACAAATTCTACTTCGAAATCGTTCCTATCTCGTTATCGAATCCAACGAAGCGAATGGTCGCTTCAGAAATCGCGAAGCTTTTCGACCCATTAGGATGGTTGTCGCCATTCCTGCTTAATGCTAAAATCCTTCTTCAAGATTGTTGGCTTGCAGGAACTGACTGGGATACAATCCTACCTAATAACCTTCTTATAAAGTGGAACGAGTTCCAGGATCAGTTCAATCATCTCAGTATTATCATGATTCCACGATGGATTCAAACTAATGATGATCAATCAAACTGGGAACTCCATGGATTCGCAGACGCATCAGAGCGAGCTTACTCAGCAGCCTTGTACTTAGTTGATCGATCTGCTGATGTTGCTCATTCCCACCTTTTAATCTCGAAAACTAAACTAGCACCAGTTAAAGTGATCTCTTTTCCTAAGCTGGAGCTGTGTGAGGCTCACCTCCTTACTAAACTATCCACCATCGTCATTGAAAAACTCTTACCTTCAATTAAATCAGTATACTACTGGTCTGATTCGCAGATTGTCCTTTCTTGGCTTCAAGGCCATCCGTCAAGATGGAAACTCTTTGTCGTCAATCGTGTAAGTGAAATCCACTCAATTTCCAAAGATGCTTCCTGGTCGCACGTTCGCTCCGAGCATAATCCTGCTGATTGTGCCACAAGAGGATTCACAGTTAGCGAACTTGGTGATTCATCCCTATGGTGGCACGGACCAAAATGGCTGATTGATAATTCTGAGCAATGGCCTGTTTCCAATCATGTTTTGGACACCAATTGCAATCTAGAAATCCGAACCAAATTTCTAAATCCAAGCGGTGATGTTCAGATGAATCTCTTACAAGAAGATCAAGCTCCTGAACTTCTAACAAGAGCTTCATCTTTGTTGAAGCTCATAAGCGTCACTGCCTACTGCTTCCGTTTTACTGGAATTCTGCAGAACCGAAATATTAATTTCCCAACCTACCTCACCTGTAGTGAACTAAGGAACGCCCTAAACATCTGGATCAAAGTGATCCAAAATGAACATTTCTCAGACGTCATAAACACGTTGAAGTCCAATCTACCATTAGCTACAAAAAATCCTAACACGAAATTAGCCCCATTTTTGGATCAAAACCTGATTCTCCGAGTTAAAGGTCGGCTAGAAAACTCATTCCTTTCTTACGATGAGAAACACCCAATAATGTTACCAAAGAATTCTCGACTATCCGAACTCATCGTCCTGCAGGCTCACCATGAGTCGTTACATGGAGGTCAACAACTCACCTTAAGTAGAGTTCTTCGGAGGTATTGGATTATCAGTGCCAAGTCTCTAATCAACCGAGTTCTCAGAGCATGCGTCAGGTGTGCTCGATTTCAAGCTGTTGTTCCTACCCAACTCATGAGCCAGTTGCCCACTGAACGAGTTAATCCTGGTAAGCCTTTTAACTCTACTGGAATAGACTATGCTGGTCCCTATTTCATTCTTCCTTCAAAAGCTCGTGGTATCAGAGCCACTAAGGGATATATTTGTTTATTTGTTTGTCTCTGTACACGAGCTATACACCTAGAACTAGTCTCAGATCTTGGAACACAAAGTTTCTTAGCGGCATTCAAGAGATTCATCTCTCTCCGCGGTGAATGTACCAAAGTTTTTAGTGATGACGCCCGAAATTTCGTTGGTGCTGAGCGAGAACTAAAAGTACTATTCAATGGTGCATTAAAAATATTCCCTCAAGTTGCCGAATCACTTGCCAATCTGGGAACAACGTGGTCTTTCATCCCACCACATTCCCCCCACTTCGGAGGAATATGGGAAGCAGGAGTCAAGTCGGTCAAGTACCATTTACGACGAGTAATTGGAGAGACCCGACTAACGTTCGAGGAGATGTCTACGGTGTTGAGCCAAATAACGGCTTGCCTTAATTCCCGTCCACTGTACCCTAACACTTCTGATCCACAATCTGTTTCAGCTGTTACACCTAATCACATCTTAACGGGTGGACGTGCCGTTGCTGTCCCAGAACCAAGGCTTGATGAAATCACACCTTTGACCAATAAACGTTGGAGAACGCCCACCAAGATGCGCGACGAATTCTGGACAAGGTGGTCCAGAGAATACCTGCATCATCTACAACAGAGATCCAAATGGTTGGTCGAAACTGATTCCGTAAAAATTGGAGATGTCTTGATCAAGGAGGACAACCTCCCCCCAACTCAATGGCTGATCGAGTTGATCAGCTGCATCCAGGACAAGATGGATTGTCGAGAGTAGCCACGATCAAAACTGCCACTTCCAGCTATAAACGATCCTTCTCCAAATTAGTACTCCTTCCAATTCCTAACGACGATAAATAATGTATTGCATTCCAAGTCTTGCCGTTTAAATTTCTGTAACTCCTGCGTTTAATAAACGCACCAGGGCAGAATGTTCGAACTTTCATTAATAACCTTTGAAGCCTGTCCGTTGACAGCCCGTCTTTCGTAGCTGACTTTTGATTGTGTCATACTGAATCACACTCTCGAGTTGCGCAAATTAATCTGTTTAGTCTTGCTTCCGATCCTTCTAACGAAAACGTGCTCGGTTAATTCATTTTTTCAAAATCCACTATAATCAAATGGAATCTGTCTATTTTCAACAATTTAAAATTAAAATATTACACAGTAAATTTTTGTTAACTATATGATGTGTTAAATAAGAAGTTTGAGTTACAATAAATTGAATTTTAAATCAAAGATGTGAACTAATTTTGTTCCTGACCACGAGCTAAATTATCTTCTACATATTTATATACTAAAATGAAGAACTTAAAATCGAAAGTTTATACAACGCCTAATAAGAAAAAATATATAATTTTGACTACAATAACTTATATCGCATAAAAATTTCTATATAAACAACAATTTTTTGTGAGTTTCCTTATAAAATCGGGCATAAATATATAATCATTTTATTTTTTATTTCACATTAATTAATTTTAACAATAAATTATTGTTCCTAACAATGAGATCCACAATTTTACATGTACTTTAATGAGAATTTATTTTTGGTATTTTAATAATAAGAATCTCTGCAAAAGTTTAAAGTAGATTTTTGGGTTGAAATAATTTAGTATGCACTTGAAGTCAGTCTTATGTATTTGTGCATAAATGCTTTTACATTTTGATTTATTTTAGGGAAAAGATCGATTAAATTATTAACTTTTGAAATTTATGTTAACAAAAAAATTTTTTTCTCAAAGCTTTTTGACATATGTTAATTAAAAAATAATTTTGTTTTCAATTATTTTTTAAACATTTATTTACGTATAATTAAAAATATTAAAAAAATTAACTTTTAAATGTAAACTTTTTTACAGAAGTGTAATAATAATTTTTCTCGAAACTATGAAGTTTTATTCTTTTTAATTGGTAAGAATTCCTTAATAATAAATTCACTATTTTCTCAAAAAGGGTACAAATTTTCTTGAAGAATTTTTTATTTTTTTCAAAAAATGTAAAATTTTTTTAGAGAAATTCATTTTCTTAGAAAAAGAATAATATTGGTAATACTTTTAAAAGATTGTAAATACATTTGTCTTAAAGTTCATTAATTTTTTGTGTATAAACCAAATATTTTGTTTTTAAAAGTTATTTAAAAAATTTTTAATTAATTTTAAAAAACCAGATGGTTGATTATCAAATTTTTTTTATTGAATACATATTATTTGAATCCATTAATAGGCATTTTCTCAAATTAAAAGAAGTATTTGTTGAAAAATATAATTATTTAAATTTTTTTAACCTATTCTAATTAATATTTTGAATAAGTTATGTTACTCTACTCATAAAGAATTTTATTATAACTCAAAAGAATTTTAGTCATTGTATTCTATTTTCAAAATATAACACAACTTTAGTCACGGTGAGCTTCGTTTTGGTTCAACCTAAACTGCATGACCCTTCTCAGGTTTTTTTTATATCAATTCGGTGATGCCTCACGATCATTTTAAGACGAAAATTAAAATAATCGTTGGAGGGAAACTCAAATTATATTGATTTTTAAATTTTTTTTCTAGGTTATTGAAGATATTTTCATTAAAATACCGTTTGGTAAAATACTTATTGCTTCAAAAGCTACAATTCAACATAAAAATAGATTATATATAATAATTAAACCATTTTGATACATAGAATTAAGAAAATGTTTAAAAATAGTCGAAAAAACTGAAATTTTTCTAATTTTTTAAACTTTACTCCTTTATTAAACGTTATTTCAATAAAGTCATGTAGAAGTGAATTAAAGTACATAAAATTTCCTGTAAATCAAAAAAAAACTCTTCTATCTATTATTGTTACAAAAATATGGTCATTTGAATTTTAAATTTAATGGATAAATAGTTAAAATTTACCATTAGGTCTAGATTATTTGGTAAAATTGTTTTCGCAGAACCTCATCTCAATTCCATAATTAAATCGCGCTCTTTGTGAATACAACGGCCTTCACGCATTTTAAAAATATCGTGGTTGTTACCAAATATTTGTACCTTACCATTTACTTTTTAAAAAAGTAAATATTTTAAATATGATTATGTTGCATTTTTCAAAATAAACGGATTTTTAAAAACTACTCAAATCTCTCTTATAGAAATAGACATTCTTTAAACCAATGTAACTTTCGATGTAAGTGAGATAAATCAGTTTTTTCAATTTGAAACTGTTCAAGATTAAACCTTCTTATATGTATTATATTCTGGAATTGAGATGAGGTTCTGCGAAAACAATTTTACCAAATAATCTAGACCTAATGGTAAATTTTAACTATTTATCCATTAAATTTAAAATTCAAATGACCATATTTTTGTAACAATAATAGATAGAAGAGTTTTTTTTTGATTTACAGGAAATTTTATGTACTTTAATTCACTTCTACATGACTTTATTGAAATAACGTTTAATAAAGGAGTAAAGTTTAAAAAATTAGAAAAATTTCAGTTTTTTCGACTATTTTTAAACATTTTCTTAATTCTATGTATCAAAATGGTTTAATTATTATATATAATCTATTTTTATGTTGAATTGTAGCTTTTGAAGCAATAAGTATTTTACCAAACGGTATTTTAATGAAAATATCTTCAATAACCTAGAAAAAAAATTTAAAAATCAATATAATTTGAGTTTCCCTCCAACGATTATTTTAATTTTCGTCTTAAAATGATCGTGAGGCATCACCGAATTGATATAAAAAAAACCTGAGAAGGGTCATGCAGTTTAGGTTGAACCTAAACGAAGCTCACCGTGTAGTACATCAAAATCCATAAAAATAGTTTTAAAATGTACGAAATAATTAAAAATTATTGTGTATTAATAAAACAGCAATACAATATGAAAAATTACTTAAATCGAATTCATTTGTAATTATTTAAGAACAATATAATAATATAAAAAAATGTTAAAAATTTTATATTATTGTAATAAAGATAATTTACTTGAAAAAATATTGAGATCCAACTTCAATTTTCGTCTTCTTTCATGATGAAAATTAAAATTTTTTAATGTCAACATAAACATAAATGTAGATTAACCAAATTGTCAAAAGTCACTAAAAAAACATACGCAAATACAACTAACTTTAAACTGCTGACAGACAGAATGAATGAAAGAATGACAGAATACAGAGATTATTATAGTTAATTGTTTCTAATTATAAACACAAGTGTTATGGATTCTAATTACTTTTAAATTAAATTATTGTAATTTTAACAAATGATAATATAAAATGATTTAATTTTGTAATAATTTACAGGATTGCCACAATATTTTAATTATGAAATTTCCTGCCTTTTCCAGCTAAAAAATTGACTTTTTTCGGGCCCAGAATAATATTAAAGAGAATTAATTAATTAAAAAACAGTTAGTACTTACTTCTTGAACGGTGTTCATGAGACATTATTTATCTCTCGGTCGGTCTCTCTCTCATGAAATAATTTTTCACACACTGTCTAGTCAACGCGAAAGACTTTTCGACAATGATAAAATAAAATAGATACCCAAGCTGCTTAGGATCGTCATATAAGCCACCAAAACGAAAAGTATTATAAAAATGTAAACAAGGAACATTAAGCACACAATAAAATTCTTCTTATTGACGTCGAAAGAAAATATTTTGAAGCGGCATCCGTTTAAAAGAATTTTTTTCCATTTATCTGTCAAAGGCAATTAATTTATTTTTTATTTTAATAACAGAAATGAATTAGATATATTGAACTCATCAATTACAACATTTTTGTTAATGAATATTTTAAAGAGCAAAATAATATTGTGTTTCATGTTTCATAATTTATTTAAAAATCTTATTGTTAATTTATTATTTGTATTACATTAAAATATATTATTTTAACAATATACCTATATAATAAATAATAAATTTAAATATCTAAAAAATTTTGTATTTTTCATTTGTTGTTCATTGCAAATGATCAATGCTATATAGATTTTTGTAGTTTTAATTTATGAAAATATAATAATATGTTAATAAATTGAAATAAACTATAACATTGTTTTATTTAATGTCATATGAAAAAGCAATGATTAATTTCACGTGTATAAGAGAAATATTTTATGTTAAGTTAACTTTAATTTAAATATACATTATCTGGTTGGTTATATTGGATATATATACAGTACCGTCCAGAAGTATCAGGACGATTACACGCGTCTCTCTGAAAGAACATGCCATCACTTTTTCAATCATATTTCTGCAACAAAAGGAGATACAAAAAAAACTCAAAAACGGTTAGAAAGCTTATTAAATTTTGAATAAAATAAGCCATGTTTGAAGCCATTCCGTTAATAATTTTCTGAGTTTTAGAGTGAGAAAGATGGAAAAAATATTATCAAATTTTCTAATTTTGGTCTCTTGACTTCAACATTTTCAAAAATCTAGAAAAATTTAGATAAAAATTTTTTAAAAACACAGAAATCTTCGCTAGAATTTCAGCTTTAAAATAAATTTTAGAAAATTAAAAAATATTAATCAGTCATCGAATTATCATTAAAAATGTGAAGCCGTGTTGCGCCCGATCGATGCTTTGAAAATCAACTGTGACTACTCGATTCCGGCTTCGCGCGGAAGCAAGCGGGAGACATACTGTAAGTACATAAATATCTAATAATAAATAATGACGTTTCACGACGAATATGTAAAGAAACTCGAAATTTCAGCGTTCCCGCATAAATCCGACCCTGCTTTCTCTCCCGCTTGCTCCCGCCCGAAGCCGGAATCGAGTCGTCACA